TTTTTTTTTTTTACATTTTTTTCTTTTTTTCTTTTAATATATTTTTTCTTTTTCCTTTTTTCTTGGTGGGTTTTTTTGTGAAAATGAATTAGTTGGATATCTATGTAATAAGTATGAATTGTGCGTAGAAGGTTAAAGGAGGTCTTAAAAGAATTGAAAAGAAATGGGAAAAGGGGTTGGCGTGGAAGTACCCTTGTGAGATTTTTGGGAGTTGAATTGTAAAAGCGACTTGACATTGATGAGCTTATGACAAGAGCTAGTTTCTACTTTTATGATTATTATTATTATCATCATTATTTCTTTATATGTGAGTTAAATTAAAGTGAAATTCTTGGACCAGTGACAAAATGCGTACTTATATGCAACATTCAATGGATGGAGGATTTGATTTTTATTTTTTATTTTTTTTATTTTTTTATTTTATAATCCAGCTGATAAAAGAAATTCCTCCGATTAGTGGGCTCGACTTGGTGGCTTCTAAGTTCTAAACAAATCTAGACACGTAATATTCACATATTATAAAGAATTTTGTTATAAGGAAAATTATGCCAATATAGATGATATAGCTTCCACTACAAAATAAATTGTTCTATTTCAAAGGAAAATCCTATGGTAAGATATTCCAATGGTATAATTTCTGTTGGAATAATTCAAACGAAAATATTCCATTTGAATGTATTTTTCATTTGAATTTTAGATGGAATTTGATAATTCCAACGGCTTTTTACCGTAGGAATTTCCGTTGGAAGTTTTATTTCTACCCCCGTTGGAAAATCTACCGTTGGAATCGTCAAAATCCAACGGAAATTGCAATGGAAAACTCATTCCAACAGAATATTTTTGTTGGAATTTCCGTTGGAATTCATTGAAAAAATTTCAACGGAAATAATAGCATTAAAATATTCATTGGAATTGCCGTTGCAATTGAAATAAATTTACGTTGGAATTTCACCATTTTCTTATAGTGTTTTGATCGATTTAAGAACTCGTTTAACAAATTAATGTGTATAAATTGGGATAACCTGATGATACCCGAGCAAATGTAAA